GATCCAACTTGACAAAAGAGAATGAGATTTCTTCCTATCTCTCCTAGCTAAGATTGTGTTCATCACTTCTCTGTATATCATAAGTGCAATTACCGTCGGAGCAATACTGCAGTTTTTGTGATACATATTGTTTCTCTGCTTCCAGAGATGGTTGATTTTGGACTGGACTGCTATTTTCCTGAGATTGATATGGCTTTGCGGAGGATACGAGACTTCATGAACGCATTTTTAACGATTTAGCATAAAAATCCATCATTTTAAATGATTTGAATTAGTCAAATGTTATGAATATAAATGTTTTCGTTATCGAATATGTGTTCACATTTATGTATTAAGTATAATGTTTTCTACAATTTACACAAGTACGATCATAGTACGATGTGCATTCATTCTAGGGACCCTTCGTCCTAATATAACAACCAAAATGTAATGATTGTTATATAATTGGTTAGGAAGCTTGTGTTAATCATTAAATTAACTCATAAATTAAGAATCAGTAATCCAAACAAGATCGTTAATAGACATATAATACCAATCCAGCCGCATGGTATTTTACACTATTCACTTACACGCAAAAAAGGAATAAAAAAAATTAGAAGTAATATAATGCATATCGATATTGCTCTTACAACATACTTTGGTAAGGAAGTACAGTAGAATACTAAACTAATATTTGATAAATTAATAAAAGAATAAATTTTTAAATTTTTTATATAAATATATCGTGAAATTAAAATTATAATTAATAATTTATATGTATATATATTTTATATAAGTGCCAGCATATCATTATATGTATTTTTTTTATATTCACAATGAATTATATTTATATATTCTTAACACTAATAATATATTTTGATAATATTTAATAAAATTATATGTAAACCATATTAAAATTCTAAGAAATATATTTTATAAATAATACAATAAACTAATATAAAAGTCAAATTTTCAAAAAGTAAATTAATGTATATATAAAAATTATTAAAAATATATTTTTAAATAGAAAAATCTAACTAAGGAAATTTTGACAAATTAATACAGCTATAAATTAATAAAATACAATAGTTTCAACATCATTAACTAATTAAATGTTTTACTGTATGTAAATATATATATATATATATCTTATATAATAAAACAAGATATTCTTTTTTTTTACGTCCACGTCATTAGATAGGTTGGGCTTTGCTTGACACATCAGTGATTTCATAGTTGGGAACTAAATGCCAGCCTCTCTTTTAAAGTTTTCCGAAAGTTAAATCGTTGTATATATAATAAGAGAGTTAATATTAAGTATACGGGTGTGAATATTCATATAATAAAATTTATAATAATTGATTGATATTTAGTTTTAGTTTTGAATAAATTTATGTGTATAATTCATATTAATAAATATTATATTATTCTAATTATACATATGACTTTGGATATATTATTGTCGGTTTAATTATTTTTTGGATCAATAGCCAGTTTAGTTGTCAATTTGGTATATTGCATATTATCTATTTTTCGAATTAAGCTATAATATTTTTATTCTAAATATAATAAAACTTTGATTAATTTTCTTATTTTCATTTCGGTTGGTTATTGTCTTAGATATGTAAATATATTCTTAGATATGTAAATATATTATAGTTAAACTATGTATAACTTAATATATATTGTGCTTAAAATAAAATAAATAATAAGCTGAAGTGTTTGATTCAAAATTACATAAATGAATATAATGATAATATTTTGAAGTCTCATGCATATATATAAATTCTACAAAAGAATTAAATTGTAATTGGTTAATATTTTTTTTTCTTTTTAATATGCTTTGAGTCAACCTCTAATTTATATGTATAAAATTAAATATATTATTATTATTATTATTATTATTATTATTATTATTCTTATTATTATTATTGTAGTTAGATGTTTCATTTTGGATATAAATTATATTAGTCAAAAAGAAAAAAATAAATTAGATTCCCTTAGATTAGTCGAGTCATTCATTTTGTGAGTATAATGAGTTAAATATATTTTTTAATTAAAATTGAAGTATAATTACCTTTTTGATTTAATTCAAATCAAATTAATTTTATTTATCGCTTAAATATACATTTATTTTCATAATATTTATTTACTCTATATTTTAGTTAAGTCAAATCAAATTAGTTTATTTATCGCTTAAATATACATGTATTTTCATAATATTTATCAAATTATATGTTGATTTCTAAAGAATATTAGAAAATAAAGTGTAACTGATAAAATTTTGAATGTTCATGAACATTTATATTTTTATTATTTTGAAAATATATTTTATGTTATTTAAAAATATATATTAATGAGGGCATTACTATTTTGTGAATTATCTTTTTAATAAAGTCATATTATGTACATATATTTTCGTTTTTAATTTGTTTTAAAATTTTAGAAATATTTTCTTTTTATTATATATGTTATTTAGAAAAGGGTAAAAAAAAAGTAAATAAAAAATTAATAATAATCCTAAAATCTAATTCATTAAGGATATATATGTAATCAACAATCGCGATAGTTAACATGAACGCGACACATAGGAAACTAACTTCTAAAATAATATTATAGAGATTTTAGTTATACATTGTATAAACGTTGTATACCTTTTTGACGGTGCAAATTGCAAATCTCTCTTTTTTTTTGTCTTCCGAAAATCATTTTGCTAAAATGCAAATTGCAAATATCAAAGTCGATTAAGACAAAGCAGTGCATGTGCGTATAAGATTGTCTTGAAGAAAAGTATAAGAATGAGAAATCGTTTGACTCATGTGGACGAATAAATTTTGTTGGGGAAGAGCCAGCAATAAAATAAGAAATAGATTTGTAATAAAGACATAACGTTGATTCAAACTACTGCACGGAAATTTCAATTCAAAAGCACCATCTTATAGTCTTACTAGATTTAGAGATTCAGATACTTTTAGTTAACCAAAACTCTATATATAATATTTTTCTGGGACATATATTGCAGTAAATAGGTAAAAAAAAGTGAGATTCATTAAATGATGACATAAAAAATTATTAATTAAAGATGAATCGATAAACAAACGAAAAATCAAAATATCAACCAAGAATCATGACACATTTCATGTTGAAAAGAAATCAATTAGTGACATGACATTCTCGTATAAAAGAAAAGTCAACTTTATATAATAAGATTAGTCAAAAATTAACGTAAGTTAGGAAATATTGAATTTATACATTGTGAACTTGTAATATACTAATTAATGCCAATTTTAAAGCGACACTTATATAAAAAATTAAAAACGATTTTTTTTGGTAGTAGATTTAGCCAAATACTAAGCATGTTCAATGGGGATTTCGATCCGTTTTCGGTTTTTTTTTTGATATTTCGATCTATAAAAGTTAATGATCATATTGGAACGATATTTATTTGGGTTATTCAGTTTTTATGCTACTTTTTTTTTTGGTTTCATACCAAAAATATTATTATTTAATTAGTTTATATATTATATGATTTTTATAGAAGCACATTGTAATACTGTCATTTATTAAAAACTCTGGAGTATTCATAAATAATAAAATGTCAAAAAATAACAAACAAAACGATCAATAACTTAGTTTTATATACCCCTGCTTATCTTTTTTGGTTTTCCAAAGTAATTTCATAATTTCTTTGAGAAAGTAAAATCAAATCAAATCTAGATAATAGTTAAAAAAAAAAAGAATTTATTAAGACATACCTTCGCAATCAATTACTTAATGGCAAAAAAAATAGAACAAGACTATTCCAAAAGAATAATAAGAAGTTCAAAATTTCGCTGTTGTGGTGAGTAAATTGTTTTTATTGTTAAGTGTTTTTAAAATTAGGATTTCTTTAATGTAAAAATATATGGTATTAATTATTAACAAAAGAAATTAAATTATATAAAAAAATTAATTATCATGTATCATTATATAATGTATATATTTATATGTTTTTATTTTATTCAATTTACTCATTTTACTTAGTTATAAATCTAATCATATTCAAATTCTACAGTTTTTATGAAATCATATATATTCGGTTTATATGGTATACCTTTACCAAATCTAACCATTTTTTTTTGGTATAACCATATTGAAAAGGTCTACCAAAAGCTCAAGGTATTGCAATTTAAGTGATATATATATATATATATACATACATACATATACATATACATATATATTTGTGAACTATATATAGATATGATATACACTAATGTGTTATGTTTCCTAAAATCATGAAACGGAAAGCATAAGGTTCATATCATTCTAATGTCTTTAGATCTCGACTTATCTGGTATCAAATGGGTCCAACGAGTAAATGAATAATAACATCAAACGTCAATTATTCTGTCACATGCATCAGTCTATGCATGCATGATGATGTACAGACACAATACACCGAGTATATAAAAAATTCTGCTTTGCATTTGTTTGATCAAGTTTTCTTTATATTGCATGGTTTATATTTTTTGTTTATAAATATGTAAACTAACAACATGATTAGTGGAAAATTATCACAAGACTTCTTAAAATATATTAAATTATATATTATTTAATTTTTTTCTCATGAATTTTTTTTACAACAAACGGTTATTTTATTATTTAAAGAATTCTCGTAGTAGGATGGTAAAATCCTCCTAATATATTTTATATACATATAGTTGAGATATTTTGCTTGCTCTAACATCATTTAGTTTGGTGAAAAAACATTTTTTAACCGATTTTTGGCTTTAAAAACACCTTTTCAAATCATATCACTTTTCTTGGTACACTTTCGGTTTAACTCAAACTGGTTTAAACCAATTGGGTCACCTTAATAATAAATACATTCATCACACAACACCAATTCTATTTTTTTAATATATAATTTCATAATCATCTACACATACTTCACTTTTCTTCTCCCAAAAAACCTAAGCATACATTCGGCAACCACCTAGCTGTTAGTTTCAATTTATATGGCTACTACTCCTGAGGAGATGGAGCACGGTGGTAATAAGGTTGCGATGTTCCTGGCGTGGGAGGATCTAACGGTGGTGATTCCAAACTTCGGCCAAGGACCGACAAAGAGATTATTGAATGGAGTGAATGGTTGTGGTGAGCCAAATAGAATCTTAGCCATCATGGGTCCTTCTGGTTCTGGCAAATCTACACTTCTTGATGCCTTAGCAGGTTACTCTCTTAACTTCTCTCTCTCCCTCTTCCTCTCACACAAACACACACACACATGACACACCCTCACGTATGAGGCATAGCTCGTCGCTTATTCTGCATTTCTGTATAAGTGTACTTAATTAACTTCTGAAGTGTTATACTCGATATCTTACTATTATCTATTAACAGTGTTACATGACGATCTTCATTGTGCAACTTTTTCTTTTGAACAAAATTCTCTCACATGTATTTAGAACTTTTTTAAACAATTAGGTTTATTAAATTAATTTGTAAATTTCTTATGGAACCGTAGATGGAATACTCTATTTCTTGTTTTTTATATGATAAGGAAATACATTATTAAAATAAACACAATATATTAATAAAACTTCTCTTTTTGAAAGCAACACTGTATGTAGAGTTATAAACATTAATTGAAGTTCTTCTACCTCTTCCGTATGCTTGACCAAACCCATATGTTTACTTGTGAGATTATATATCTATCTATATCTTTTCAACATATATACAGATAGTCATAAATATTGGAAAACAATGCTATATTTATATATAAATTTCATATACATGATGATACATATATAGGTAATTCTAACTTTAAATTTATGAATCCCAGCTACTGAACTTTCTAAAATTATGTAAGTAGTAATTAAAAGTAAAACATAGTTGCAATTTTCATGTTCCTCATTAAATTTACATGTGTGGTACATTTAATATTGGAAAAACTGATAGCTACATTTCTCTAACAATACCTTTTAAGAAATTCCGCAGTAAATTTTCTTATTAACTAATGATTTTAAATGTTAACCAACTACCATATACCAAATACCAACAATCTGACACAAAATTTAGTGTTGCCAATTATCCGGTTAATGGTATGGTTTCAAACAACAAAACCGAATTGGAATATCTAGTAAGCTGCTAAACTCCATGCCTGGAGAATGGAGATGACCTGGTTGTGGTCAGATTGTATCTACCATATAATACAAGATTTCTTAAATACTAGAATAATTTGTGGTTGGTGAATATTTATATTCTGTCTATGAAGAAAAACGAATAAAAATATCCCAGTAAATAATTATAAACATTATTAATCAGATAAATGACCACGCGCATTTCCTTGTATTTTGATAAGTACTGTGTTATAGACTCAAATGGCATGTTATTTTATCATGAATTTAGAGAAAAAAAAAGGCACACGGTTTGCTCATTTCATATAAGTTATAACCAGCCCAGCTCGGTTTATATAATACATGGGACTTGTGCTGGGTAACTTTTTTTTCCAAAATTTTAGTTATACTAGTGTAAATTTAATAAAGTTAAACCCTAAACAATAAATATTCAACACCTAACTAGAGATTGTCTCTACCATATAATACAAATCTTTTACCAAATCATTACTCTAATTTTATACTCCCTCCGTGTTATAGAAAATGACACTTAACCACATTTCATACGTATTAACAAAATAATTGAAATGTATTTATGTTATCATTAATTACATTTATTTAAGTAATGATATTTGAGATATACTCCTACAAATTTATTTATAAGATCAATGTATTTTATAATTAATATTTAACTAAAAATAAGTAAAAATTGCATTGAAATAACGATATTTTTGTGTATTAAGAAAAAAAAAATGCTAAAAGTGACTTTAAAAAAAACAGAGGGGGTATGTAAAACTGAAAGAAAAAAATAGGACCCATTGCAAGTGTACTCTTGAGTAAATACAAATGCACTATGAGCACATTCTCAGCCGACCACTAGTTATAACTTGACAATGAGCTCATATGCATGCATAATTTCAGGAAGTGTATGAATTAGTCAAATGGTATAGGTTTAACATTTGGTTATTTGCCTATATATACTGTAAATAAGAACTTAGAAGTACATACTTGGCTAAATTATCACAAAATACATTGATTACACGGTCACATCAAACGAAAATTTATATTCTTTTAAACCGGGGAGAAAAAAAAAACAAAAAACCTAGATTGACCTCTCTTAGTTTTTCATCAATGCTAACAAGAAATCCAAAACATGAAAGATTAAACACTAGATATCACAGTGTGGTTGATTTTGTTTACAAGTAATTTGTTTGTCTGGTACAGGAAGATTAGCAGGGAATGTAGTGATGAGTGGCAAAGTTCTTGTCAATGGCAAGAAGAGAAGGCTTAACTTTGGTACTTCTGTAAGTAAACCTAATCCTTTTTACACAAACCAAACTCTTATTCATGTCTTAAATCATTAAATGTTTTTTTTTTCTTTTTTTTTGAACCTGTTGAGAAACTCTCAGGCCTATGTGACACAAGAAGATGTATTGCTAGGAACTTTGACAGTGAGAGAATCAATAGCTTACTCAGCTCACCTCAGGCTCCCATCAAAGCTTAGCAGGAAAGAGATCAGTGACATCGTGGAAGCTACAATCACTGACATGGGTCTACAAGAATGTTCAGACAGGACAATAGGAAACTGGCACATGCGTGGAATAAGCGGAGGAGAGAAGAAACGGCTTAGTATTGCCCTCGAGGTCTTAACCAAACCGAGTCTCCTCTTCCTAGACGAGCCCACAAGTGGACTAGACAGTGCCTCAGCTTTCTTCGTGGTTCAGATTCTCAGAAACATCGCTAGCAATGGCAAAACAGTGATTTCTTCAATTCATCAGCCGAGTGGTGAGGTCTTTGCACTCTTTGATGACTTGCTACTTCTCTCTGGAGGAGAAACTGTTTACTTTGGAGAAGCAAAGTTTGCAACAAAGGTACTAACTACTTAAGGCAAGAGCATTGGCCAATAGTATATTTTAAAACATGCTCATATAAGTTGCTGCTGCTTGTTTTGCAGTTCTTTGGTGAAGCCGGCTTTCCTTGTCCTAGCAGACGGAACCCATCTGACCACTTCCTTCGCTGTGTCAACTCAGACTTCGATGTTATCACAGCAACTTTGGTTGAATCTAGGAGAATCCACGTTAGTCTTCTTCTCCCCTTTGTTGTTTTCATGCTTGCAATACACACAAGCATGCTCTGAGGTCTGCTCTTTTTGCCTACTCTGTAGGACTCTTCTTTCTCTCTTCACCAACTACATGAAACGTCAAACACGTTAGACCCCATGGATAATACACCAACAGCAGAAATTAGAACAACGCTTGTAAGAAAATTCAAGTGTTCAGAATACGCAGTAGCTTCACGGGCAAGAATTCAAGAAATAGCATCAATCGTAAGTTTATGACTTAACCATTTCCTCTTTAAAACACAATCATAACTAGTCTTGTAAGAGCAGGATTTGAACTTGATGCAACAGAAGGGACTTGTCACTGAAAGGAACAATGGGAGTCAAAGAAGCTGGTGGAAACAACTAAGGGTGCTTACTCAACGATCTCTCATCAACATGAGTAGAGACTTAGGTTACTATTGGATAAGGATTGGAGTCTACATACTATTATCCATCTGCGTTGGATCAGTCTTCTTCAACGTCGGGAGAAGCCACACAAATGTGATGACCACTGCAGCTTGTGGAGGATTCATGGCAGGTTTCATGACTATTATGTCAATAGGAGGTTTCCAATCTTTCATTGAAGAGATGAAGGTAAAGAGAGCTAACATAACACCAAACCGAGCTCTGTGTCTTTAGTTGTCCTAAGAAAGTATCTTTTAAAACAGGTGTTTTCTAGGGAAAGGCTAAATGGACACTATGGGGTTGCAGTATACACTCTGTCTAATTTCTTCTCCTCGTTGCCTTTCATAATCCTCATGTGCCTTGCAACCACATCAATCACTAACTACATGGTGAAGTTCCAACCCGCAGCTTCTCATTTCTTCTATAGCTGTCTCGACCTCATCAGTGCCATTGCAACCGTGGAGAGTTGCATGATGATGATAGCTTCTATGGTTCCTAACTTCTTGATGGGAGTCATAATAGGAGCTGGTTACATTGTAAGAACTCTCTCTCTCCATCTCTCTCACTTTTTATTACATATTGGCTCCGATTGGTAACCATTGCGGAATTGCGGAATCATGGAAAAAATAGTTAAGCTGCGGAAAAAATTAATTAAGTTGTGGAAAATATTAAAATTTGCGGAATGGTGGAATACACATTACAGTATTTAATTTATATGTTAATTACTTTATTATAAGAAGTATCAATAACTAAACTAACTATTATAAAATATGAAATAACTAAAATGTATTGAAAATAATTTTAATTCTTTTTATAAATATTTAGTTCATTTTTCAATATGTTTTCAATAGTAGATTGACATCTTATAATATTATAAAATAAATTATAGTATAATTTTATTTACAACATAACTATCATTACTAAAAAAGTTATTACTATTTACTTAAAATTAAAGTGGCATACTCATATAATTTAATAATATGAAAGTATGGATTTTGTTAAAAAAATTGTCAAATTTTCTAAATAATCTACTAAAACTCACTTTTCCACTTAATACACTTTTCCTTTATATTTTTGTCAGCGAAAACGCAAACTTGCGTTTTTGCGTTTTTTTTTTCATTCCGCAAATTTTTGTGATTGGCAAAAACACTTGCGGAATCGCGGAAAAACGCCATTCCGCCATTCCGCAAGGTTACCAATCAAAGCCATTGATAAACTGCTCTATTTTCTTCATGTCACAGGGAGTTATGGTGTTGAGTGCTGGATTTTTCAGACTGTTCCCTGACTTACCTATGGTGTTCTGGAGATACCCAGTGTCTTACCTAAACTATGGTGCATGGGCACTACAGGTAAACAGGTTTCCTCAGCTTTTACGATGGTAAACAGATGTATCTAAAATGAGCAAACCTGAAAAACTTGCAGGGAGCATTCAAGAATGAGATGATAGGAGTTGAGTATGAATATCCATTACCTTTGGTACCAAAAATGAAAGGAGAGCTTATTCTTGAAACAGTTCTTGGCATAAATCCAGCACAGTCCAAGTGGTTGGATCTAGTTGTTGTGATGATGATTCTCATTGCGTATAGGCTTCTCTTCTTTGCCATCCTCAAGTTTCGCGAAAAGGTTTTCCCATTGATTCACATGTTGTACACGAAGAGAACTCTGAGCCATATCCAGAAAAGGCCTTCTTTCAGGAGAATGTCACCTTTCCCTTCCAAGCGACACAATGTTCACCATGCCCTCTCTTCTCAAGAAGGACTCAACTCCCCACTGCATTAAAAGCTCTACGATGCCTGGAAGATATTACTCGCTTCTAACCTTTTGCTAGAGTTTCATATATTTCACTATGCTATACTACTACTCTCTTCAAACTTGTTAAAACTATTTGTAGCATGTTGCGTGAGGATAAAGAGAGAGCTATTATCGTTCTGACTAAGGAGATCTATTAAGCAGGTGGAGTGAACTAAATACAGCTGATCAATAGAAAAGAGAGCATCGCTTCGTTCTCAGATAAGAAGAGATGCGATGCATGCAGATACTTCTTAGAGAGATTGTGTCGGCAGAACCACAGAAAAGAAAAAATAAATCAAATATGGCGTTTCCTTCACTAGCAACAGCTACATATAAACATGAACCAACCTATTTTAATTTTTTCTTTATCAAAAAAATAAAATAAACATGAACCAATGGAAAGACTTGTTACCTGACAGTAACAAAGGTAGTCCTTGTTTGATGAGCATCGTTTAGCTGCCAAGAAACAGAATCATAACTAACAAAAGTTTTTTTCCTCAAAATGTCTGCTGACGAAAGATCAGACAGAAGGAGAACAATCAAGAAGATGATTCAAACTTAAAAAGTCTAATATCAAGCAAAGATGTCAAGTTTCAAACTTTGAAGAAAAGGAAAATATTAACTGTCAAAAAAGTTACATATGAAGAAAAATTAAACATACAAATGAACAATCAATTCTTTTGACAAATATTGGCTAATCCATAAAGAACAACATCAAGTTCTGAAAGTAAGAAAAATGCCAGTTTCCATCGTATAGAAGCAGACATGTACAACCACATTTGCTCGTTTGCTCACTTGCTACTCTTAGTAAAATCGTATCTGAACCAATGACTAGATTTTAAAAACTATGTTAAAAATATTAAGATCACGCCTGCTTGTTCTACCTAACTCTTCATATCATCAGAACCATTATCTTCAGGTTTACCATTGAATCCATGATACGGAACCTCTAACATGGGTCTCGGGGTTGCTCGGTCACCAAAATCTTCAGGATAAAACTCGAAATCAGGACCAAAATTGAACCTCACAACACAATTTGGCTGGTCAGGGAGAGTGTACATTGAAGCAGCAGGGTAGTAACGACCCCCAAAAAGATCTTTGAAAGCAACTCCCTGACATACACCATTTTTGAAGAACGATATTTCACTACCTGCATCAGAAGAGAGGCATTCGTTAACAAAGATTTGATTTACGCATTTAGCCATGTGAAATTGTGATTAAGAATCCCTACTATAACCACATATTTAATTTTCTAGAAACTCAAAGGAAGCTCTCCACTATAACTAGCAACAGCATTTAGTTACAATTTAAGTCCACTTAAACGTATACAGCTAAGTAAAAGAAGAACACGAACTTGTACAAGTAACGCAAACTCATACTACAACCACATATTAGTTCACTCCAAACACAAAGGAAGCTCTCCACTTTAATTAGCAACAGCATTAAGATACAATTTTAGTCCACTTAAACGTATGCAGCTAAGTCAAAGAAGAACATTAACTACAAGAACACAAACTTGTACAAACAAGTTACGCAAACTCTTGACTACGCATACATAATATAGCCACATATCAATTCTCTACAACTTCAAAGGAAGCTCTCCACTTAAACAAGCAACATCATTCATATGCCGTTCCACTTAAATATATGTAACTAAGTAAAAGCAGAACATTAACACAAACGTGTGACTAAAGATCCCTACTATAACCCATTTCAATTCCCTACAAATTCAAAAGGAAGCTCTCAACTTTAACTAGCAACAGCACTCGTATGCAGTTCCACTTAAACCTAAGCGACCTAAGTAAAAACAGAACATGAACCAGAACAACACAAACACACACCTGGCACAACTTTAGGAGGCTCCTCTTTAGTATCAGGAGCACAAACATATCTCTGCCCTTTATACCACACATAACGAGGAGCCTTAGGAGCAAAAGCCTCACCATCAGGCAAATTAATATAAAACCCAATAACATCACCTTCCTTATACCCTTCCTCAGCATACTCCCCTCTCACAGCCTTATGTATCTTACACCCATCAACATCCCTAAACCCAAAACTATTCCCATCATACCCAACCGGAGCCTGCAGATCCCCTTTCTCAGTAGACCAACCCAGCCTCGTATGCCCCGTCTCGCCCAAACTCAAAACCCTAATCTCAAAATACCAAGCCCCTTCCACAACACCCCTCGTGGCTCTCACCATCCTGTAGCCTTTGCTACTACCCGCGGTGAGTCTGTCCTCGCTCACCTCCACTTTCTCGGCCTTGTAGACTCGAGAGAGACGGATTAGGGACTCAGGCGTGTCGTCGCCCTTGTCGGGGAACCTGGGGACGGGAGTGATGAGGATTTTGTCGTCGACGGATGCTGAGTTTGGTGTGTTGTTGTTTTTGGTCTTCTTTTTGCCTTTGCGTGTGCTCTTTGTGACCCATACGTTGTTGTTCTTCTTCTTGGATTTGGATTTTTTGGTTGTTGTTGTTGTGGCGGCGGTTACGATCGGGGGAGTTGTTGTTGTTGATGGTTGTGGTGGTGATGGTGGTGGTGGTGGTGGTGGCTGGTTCTCGTCCTTGACGGTGAGGGAATTGAGGTGTTTTTGTTTCTTGGTTGGTGGTTCTTCTTCTTCGTCGTCGTCTTCGTCTTCTTCTTCTTCGTCATCTTCGTCTTCTTCTAATACGGTGCCGTTTTGGACGGGGGCGGATTCTGATTTGGGGGATTTAGGGTTGTCGGAGGAGGAGGCGGTTGGGGCGTCTGAGTCGGATTCGAGTTTTAAGTCGGATCCGGGTGGGTTGTGATCTGGTTTTTCTGAATCGGGGTTGTTTGGTTCTTCGATTGCGGCGGGGGATGAATTGGTGAGTTCGGAGGGAAGAGGGGCTTCGATAAGGACTTCGGGGAGAGAGATTGGAGCTTGTGGTTGGGGTTGTTGTTCTTCTTCGACGTTGGGATTTGAGAGAGGAGGATCCATTGGAAGTTTCTTTCTGATGCGCACTAGAGATTTTTCGTGGGACTGTTTGTTTTAGTAAAGAGAGGGAGAGATATATGGAAAGGTTATGGGCTGTATATGGGCTTTTTAGGCCCAATAAGAAACGAGTTCTGGAACTTGGCATAATCTATTTGTGTTTAGTGTTTTTAGAGCATCTCCATCCTGAACTTTAGCAAAAATTGTTAGGTTTTTTTTTTCAATTTTTTACTACTTTCTTCAAAAGTAAAAAAGAAAAAAAAAGAACCACTCGTGGGTCAACACTTGGCAGCCGGGCCCGTGAATAGTGTAAGAGTTGCCTCTTAGAGCAGTCATATCGGTGGTTTTAAACAATCTTTAGCGCGTCATCATATGTAATTTTCGGAAAAATATTAATTAAAAACTCTTAACCGAGAAGGATTAATCCTTCGGTAAGGATTTTTTTTTGTTGGTCCTTCGTGACGTGGCATGGTTTGGGAAGAGGGTTTGGTGTGTAAACCAAAAGCGTGTCTCATTTTGAAAGCAGAGAAGGAAAAAAAAAATCAGAGGCGACGACGAAATCGAAAGGGGATCCGCGTATTCTCGGTTGATTTTCTCCGATAAACAAGGTAAATCGATTGTTCTTTAGTTGATTAATGGATTTACCTTACGATTATGTTGTTTAGGGTTCGGATTTGGTGCTCAATCGATTTGGGGAAATTTTCGTATCAATTTAGGGTTCGAAAATGAGTTTGGTTTTAATTTATTTGGGGATTCTTTTGTTTCTAGTTCGTGTTTCTAAACGATTAGGGTTCAGATTTGGTACTCAATCGATTTGGGGATATTTTCGTATCAACTTATGGTTCGAAAACGAGTTCGGTTTTAATTGATTTGGGGATTCTTTTGTTTCTAGTTCGTGAATTCTAAACGATTAGGGTTTCAATCGATTGGGGGATAGTATCATATGTAGTTAGGTTTCAAAACGATTAGGTTCTCACCAAAGTTGTCATTATGTGATGTTTGCTTAGATTTTGTGATGTAAACCATTGACAAGTGTGTCGTGATTATGTGATTTGTATGGCTAAGTGTGTCGTGATTATGTGATTTGTGTGCTTTGTATGTCATTGTTTGCTTGGATAATGAACTTGTATTAACGTATGTGTTGTTCTTCTTTCAGGGTAAGGAACCATGGGACGTTATAGCTACAGTCAGCCTTCATCATCTGATGAGTATGGGGAAGAGTATACTCGGATTCTTGAAGAAGAAGCTGCTCTATACGTGGTTGAAGTTGAGAGTAGCCACAACATAGCATCACCGGTTGATGCTGACGATGGAATCCCGACGTCCTGCTATTGCGGTGGTCAGCCAGTTGTTGAAACAGCTCAGACAAGCAAAGATCCAGGCAGAAAATACTTAACGTGTGAAAATGCTGCTGATGGACAATGCCACATATGGAAATGGTTGGACGTGGCGGTAATGGAGGAGGTCAGTGACTTTCATAGACAAATTATGCATCTTAAAGCTCAAGGTAATGAGAGTGAGCAGAAGGTGGTTAACCTAGAGAAGACGGTGGAGGAGTTAGCTAAGAAAAAAGAAGTGATCACAAATGGCTTTCCATTGGTCCTCTGTGGGATGGTTAGTGTATTACTTCTAATATGTATGGTGATCATGGTGAAGTTTGTTGAAGAGAAGGACAACGTCTTAACATAGTACCTGGTGAGTTTCTTTCCTTGTGTTTCTGTTTATTGTTCCAACTTAATTTTTAAAACTTTTAACTCGTGTATCTCATGTGTGATCAGGAAGAACTCCAGAGGCTGAAGATGCGAGACACTGACCTTTAGAAGGTAATATACAAACCTTTTCTTCACTCGTTTCTTTGAATAATAAAATTATATAGTATCCATATATAACTAAAACTTAAAATAAAAGTGTAAATGCTATAACTATAACTAAAACATAAATTCGAACTTAAATCAAAGTGTTAATATTATAACTATAACTAAAACTTAAAATCCAACTTTAAATCAAAGTGTTACCTAAAAAATCAAAACTCATTTACTTTAAAACTGTACAACCTGTAAATATCATTTACATTAAACTTAATTGCATTTACACTTAATTGCTTTTTAGCTTCTCAACTCCTCTGAGTTGATAGGTGATAAATGTACCTACATTGCTTTCTACCTTCTCAACTTCTCTGAGTTGATTGGGTTTAAATGTAGTTGAGCTTGAGATCGTTTATTTAAGGTTCTGTGATGCTAGTAGAGCAACACAGAGCTTTCTATAACCTCCTAAAAAATGGATAGCTCCACTGGTTTCGTTAACCTCCTCAACACCCAATCCTCTTTCGACCTTGATTCACCCGAACCTGTTTGGTTTAGTGGCCAATCTCCTCAACAGTCTGCTGGTGTGAAGAAGAGGAGGAAATGGTCAGCCAAAGAGGATAAAATCCTCATTGGTGCTTGGCTTAACACAAGCAAAGACCCTGTGGTCGGCAACGAGCAAAAAGGTGTTGCTTTCTGGAAGAGGATTCTAAAGTACTACAACTCAAGCCCTCAGCTAGTCGGGACAACGCCTAGAGAGCTTGGTCAGTGCAAGCATAGATGGGCAAGGATTAACGAGCAAGTGTGCAAGTTTGCTGGGTGCTTTGAGGCGGCTCTGAGGGAGCATAAGAGTGGTCAAAGCGATGACAATGTAATATCAGCTGCATATGCTCTCTTCTTCAGTGACAACTCCGCGCAGTTCACCCTGGAACATGCGTGGAGGGAGCTGAGACATGACAACAAATGGTGCTCCACCTTTCTCACTAAGGAAAAGCGCAAGCAAGTGGTGGATGTCGATGGAGAAGAGGATGTGGGATCAGAAGCAGGTAGACCTATTGGAGTTAAAGCTGCTAAAGCAGCAAGCAAGAGGAAGAAAAGTACAAGAGAAGATGAGTTGTCAAAGTTACATGGTGTTTTGAAATTGAAAGACAAAATCTCTAAACGGAAATTGCTTGAATGTTTACTTGCTAAAAACGATCCACTCTCAAACAACCCTTAAACTTAAGCTTATGTCCGAGATGATATGATGGTATTACTTGGTTGATGGTATCTTAATCTTAAACTTACTTGGTTGCTTATGGTATTTTACTTGCTCATGGTATTTTACTTGCTTATTTGTTGTTGCAGGTTCAGTGGGAGTCACGGATGCAGTAGGTGTGATAAAGTAGTTTGGTGTTTAGGACATGTGAAAGAAGTCAGTGAGACTCAGTTGGAGTCACAGAAGAGGAAGTGTTTTGTTGTGTTTATGACATGTGAAAGATGTCACGGATGTCTTCTGTTTCACTTTTACTTCTATAAGTAAAAGTTTTTTGTTGTTGTAGCTAGTTTATCTCCTTTCTTTTGTACTCTACTTTCGTTTGCTCTGTTCCCTCTTTGTATGAAAACTACTCTACTATATTTGAAGTTGTGAAACTTGAACTCCCCTTGAATCTTCAGCCTTAGCCGAATTCTGTCTCTGGTACTCTTCTTCCTCTTGCTCTTTAACCTTCTGTCTCACGGATTGTCTTTTTTTTTAAAATGTTGTAGTCATTAACTTGTTCTAAAACTTAATGAATGTCTTTTTAAAATATGTTCAAGTCATTTAACTTAATGAATGTCTTTTAAAAATATGTTCAAGTCATTTAACTTAATGAATGTCTTACTGAATTATAGTGAAAAAGAATTATATTCAAGTTAGGAACAATTTAAAAAATTCCTTGTTCTAAAACCAAAAATTAAATACATGCTTATAAATTTTGTAATGAATGTCTTTTTAAAATATGTTCAAGTCATTTCCTTGTTCTAAAACTAACCAAGAACATGTTTATTTTATAAAAAAAGTTTGAAGAATCTTTTATATTCAAGTTAGGAATATATATATATATATATATTTTTAAAAAAAAGGATTTCTAAAACCGAAAATTATATACATGCTTTAAAAAAAAAGAAAAAGATTTTGTAAAACCGACATTTAAATACATGCTTATAAATTTTGCAATGATTGTCTTTTAAAAATATTTTGAAGGCATGCTTCCTTTTCAAATATGTATTCAGTAATGATTTTTTTAAAAGGAGAGATTGCCAAGATGTCGTCATCCGATGAAATAGACGAAATATTGGACGAAATTATCGATGATATCTGCGAAGACACATACGACGACATAATGGAGGCCCAACCCATTAACCGAACGAGACGTGTTTATATAGAACGCAACCGCGAAACGGGACATGACCGTTTATGGAATGACTACTTCAGCGAATATCCGACATTTCCGGCACACTTATTCAGACGCCGTTTTCGTATGAACAAGGATTTATTTATGCGTATTGTCCAACGTCTCTCGGAAGACGTTCCATACTTTCAACAAAGAAGAGATGCAGCCGGGAGGTTTGGTCTTTCTCCAATACAAAAATGTACGGCGGCAATTCGTATGCTTGCTTATGGTTCCGCAGCGGACGCGGTCGATGAATATCTACGACTTGGTGAAAGCACGGCTCTTTTGTGTTTACGACATTTCACCGAAGGGATAATTCAGTCATTTGGTGAAGAGTATCTACGAAGACCCACTCGAGATGATCTTCAGCGGCTACTCGATATTGGAGAGATGTGCGGGTTCCCTGGAATGATTGGAAGCATTGATTGTATGCATTGGAAGTGGAAAAATTGTCCAACCTCTTGGAAAGGACGATACACCCGTGGATCAGGAAAACCGTCAATTGTCTTAGAGGCTGTCGCTTCACAGGATCTTTGGATATGGCACGCCTTTTTTGGTCTTCCACGTACCTTAAAAGATATTAATATCCTCGATCGGTCTCCTGTTTTTGATGACATTATACAAGGTCGAGCTCTAACGGTAGAGTACATGGTCAACGGACACATGTATAATTTGTCGTACTACCTCACAGATGGTATCTATCCAAACTGGTCAACATTTATCCAATCTATCTCACTCCCTCAAGGATCGAAAGCAGAGTTATTTGCTAAATATTAAGAAGCAACCTGAAAAGATGTGGAGCGGGCATTTGGAGTATTGCAAGCT